TACTTTCATTTAATCCAAACTGTGTACATATTAAGATAGCTAAAAAAATGCGTAAAAAAAAAAAAGCCCAGAACTGCTTTTCTGACTGATATGACACAATGTTAATCATTTGTACATTCTCTAACACGCATATTTTAGATTCACAATTCATTTAAAAGCCTCTGGTATGTAAATATCATCATGTCCTCCTGTTTTTTTTTACCATAAAAGTTATAGGAGCATTAAATAGTTAATAAAGAAACTTCATTCTAATGCTCATTATTTTAGCGTTAGCCGCGCTTATGCTTATGATTAACTACTCTAATAACAGCGATGTTTATTTCAATCCGACATTCAAATTAAAATATTGAATAATATTCATAACAGAAGATCTAAATATTAAAAATTAAAATGAAACTTACCTGCTTGAACTCTTTCATTTGATCCGGGTGTCTGTCTTTAAAGTCACCATGAAATCAAAATTGTGCACTGTTTACGGCATATATATGCAAATTCATTCTCTGCCAGCAGGAGGCGCTGTTGGAGTGGGAGAGATAGAGGTTTCCCCAGTAACGGCTGTAATCAAATATGCGCTGCACTCACAAACACTGCTCACTGTGCTCAGGCATTACAGGCAAGATGAAATGAAAATGACACCCATAATTTTCTGAAGACCGTCAGTTTCCTTCAGAAATACAGTGATATAAAAACACCCGCACCGGGTTTCGACTTTGACACGTGCAGTTGCTTATGTTTATTCAACGAAGTCAAAGCCTTTTGGAAAATCTATTTGTGGCGGTGAGTTTTGATATTGTGGCAGGCAGCCACAAATAAATCAATGTATGGGATGAAATGAAACTTACCTGCTTGAACTCTTTCATTTGAAGTGTTTTGTTAGTTTGATGGGTTTCCTCATTCTGAGGTCACCATGTCTCAGTGCTTTTATGAAGAGAGCGCATCTGCGCACCTTTCGGATAGCGCATCAAGAATCGGGTTGACCGGGTACTCTGTACCACCGGTACTTAAAAAAAACCTGGTACCAGGTCATTTTTTTTAGTACTGACTTGGAACCGAAGTACCGGGTCTTTTGACAACGCTAATACTAACGTATAGCTATGTTTATAGTGTTTATAAAGTTTATACATTATAATATTTCACTTTATTTGGTATTATTTCTGGTATTATTATACTCTCTCCAAACGTTCTGCTGCTCACAAAACAATAAGCAGTAAGCACCAATCAATGAGAGCGAGTTTGAACTTAAGAAAGTTGACTGGTCACGGTCAAAAATATGTTGAGGACCAATACATAACCTCCAAATACATAAACCTGCGCTCGCTCTCATATGCACGCAAGCACTGTCACGATCTAATGCCAGATCCTTAAAAACAATTACCAGAACGCAAAAATCCACAACCTGACATTTTCCGGAACAGGATCCGGCAGGATCCGGCTCAAATTAAGCACTGATTGCATCAATACCCAATAATCAGTCATGAATTTACAATTGCTTTATGCGTGACTGGGGAACAATAAGAAAAAGGACTAGTATGGTAAGATGGATAGATGAAGATGGTGCAATTCTTCACTGCAGTCATCGGGTGAGACTCCTTGACGTTTTGATGATATGTTATGCTGTACATGATGTGTACTGTATCTTTCATGGATGTTGCCACTGAGACCCCTTATCTGATGTCCATCAGATCCCAGTTTCTGTGCGAACTTTAGCCTGGGTGAAAGATGCCTTTTGTTGAGGTGATGTTGCCAATGGCCAATTGGTGTTTCCACCAATGCAACACATCATCAGTTGTGTACCCCAGCCTCATTGGGTGTTTCGGCCCTTTATCACAAGCCCACCACAGGCTGATCAGACCCGGGTGTGTGTCACCTTGTTACATGGTCATTTGGCAGCCCACACTGTGTCCATCCGCTTCAGCCACAGCTAGTGGCTGCTTCTTTCAGTGACAGTGGCCATTCCTGACTATCCTCTGCTGGACCTGTCCTCTGATGCCCAACTCCTTCAGCAGCCTTATAGTGGAACTAGCCACAAAGCCCCTGCAGCCCACTTCCACGTGTATACTTTCACTGTCCAGCCCCGCTCCTCTGACTCAGCTGCCAAGTTGGCATCTTCCTTTCAAAGGCCTCGTTAATGGCCTGTTCCCAAGGGACTGTCAGTTCGACTATAATGACGATCCTACTGGAGTTGGACCAGAGAACCAGGTCTGGGCACAGATTGGTAACTTGCTTAGAGACAGATAGACGCGACGAATACGTACAAAAACACTGCGACTCACAAGATAAAAAATACGAAAACACCGTTCTGTCGGGAGAGAGAGAAGCTGCAGCGTGTGCACGCGCCGCCATCTTGCGCCATCTTATGGTGCAAGATTCATCAAAGTGAGCTCGTTTATGGAAATTGGCCACATAAGCCGTGGCAACAAACCAAATGCCCAATCCATTTCCTCAATTGTGTACTCATCAGTCTCTCCAGGTGCTTGGCATGAGATAAAGTGAGCTTGTATATGGAAATTGGCCACATAAGCCGTGGCAACGAACCAAATTGGAAGCACCAGCACTTCAACTTCCCTGGAAGAGCTGTACCATTGATTCTCTTGAGTCCACTGACTGTCTCTTGCCTGAGTTGTTCCACCTGTTTTGAGTCTTTAATGTCTGTGATGTACCAACGTCCAAGGCTTTTGATGGGCTTTTCCATGACCATTGGTATGGGCTCTCCCGCTATACAGAACCTGTCATTAGCAAGTCGGCCTTTGACAATGGAGATGCTGCGAGATTTTCCGGGTTTAATCTCCATTTGTGCCCATCTGATGTTTTCCTGGAGCTTATCCAGCAGCCGCTTAGTACATGCTTTAGTCATTGTGATGGTAGTCATATCATCCATGTATGCCCTGATTGGAGGGAGCCGCAACCCATTTTTCAACCGTTCCCCTCCAACCACCCAACAGGATGCCCGAATTATGATCTCCATTGCCATAGTGAATGCCAGTGGAGAGATGGTACAACCTGCCATTATGCCAACCTCCAGTTGCTGCCAGGTGGTGGTACTATCCTGTATGGTAATACAGACCTGAAGATCCCGAAAGTAGGCTTTAATCAATTTTGTTATATGTTCTGGAACATGGAAGAAATCGAATGCTACCCACAACAGCTTATGTGGCACTGTCCCAAAGGCATCTTTTGTAACATTTGAAATGTCTTCACTCTTCACTCACTTTTCATCACTTTAATATATGATGAATAAAATTATTAATTTCTCTCTCTTTTTTAAATCTTACCACAGATGTTTGAATGGTATCATTGTTTCCACAAAAACGTTAAGCAGCAAAAAATGTTTGTAACATTGATAATAATAGTAAATGTTTCTTGAGCAGCAAATCAGCATATTAGAATGATTTCTGAAAGATCATGTGACACTGAAACTTCTCTTTGTAAACAACAACAGATTTATAAATGATTCTAATGACGAATGTTGCATTCCCAAATACAAATTAAAGTGACTCTAACACAGCAGTGAATTGAAACTGAAAACACAGTACTGTTAACAGCAGACATGTAGCGCGTCAGACTATAGCCTATATTTATATTATTACATCACAACCATTGCGAATTTTATGATAGTACTAAGCAATCTCAAATCTCACCACCATTCATAAAGTTACCGGGCGAGTAACATGTTTCAGCGCTGATTCTACTCTCATTTGGCGCTTTGAACCATTTGAATCCTTTTACTGTCCTGCAGGTGGCGCCGCGAGCTCGTACAGAGCTCTCTGGACCATTCCGTCCATGATGTATTAGAAAATATAACTTTTCGCAGTTTATTTAGTTCATTGCTAAGACCATTTTGCGATTTCAATCATGCAGTTACCAACATTACCCTGATGACCCCCCACTCCGATTATTATTATTATTTTATTACTGATCTGCATGATTCACGTGGGTCATGATTTTAGGCCGGAATTCCAGATTAATCCGTAAGAATCACATCCCTGATATAAATAAAGATTTTCAACTCGAATATTTTATTCATCAACATCCAGTGTGTGATTTAAGTGTTCCCTTCATTTATTTGAGCAGTATATTAAATAGCAACATGTACTTACTTTAGCGTTAGGATTAGGTTAGTTGCATGTAATTATACATAATTTACTGTTATTACTAATGCTAGTACATGTAGAACAAATATACCATAAAATAAAGTGTTACCATTTTTGTCATGCAAATTTTTTTTCTATGCCATTAAAACAAATGGACTTTCATTGTATGTAAACACTGAGACATTTTTCCTGTCCTCTGTTGTGAAGAAGAAATGCGTACAGGTTTGGAATGAGGGGATAAACCCTTTAATGATTGTAAATTATATAGCCATGTCATCTTAACATCTGCAGGCACTTTGTTTCTTTAGGTGTTCTTTGCCTCTGTGCGCTCTGGAGGGGTGAGCCAAGTTTATTTCATGACCCTTGGAAGGAGCAACCTACTCAACTGGTGATGAGGATGCTTTCCTTTAATGAAAGTACCAACAGACTGTCTCTCTGAACCCTGTGAACCCAGCATGACAAACATTAACGTTAAATTGAATTTCAATTCAAGGGTACTTGTACCATACTTGTGCTGTCATAGACACTGGCACCGTTGTGGAGAAAACTCAGTCTTGAGTACGTAAACATAAAAGACATTCTGAAAGGGAGTAGGAGCTTATGTAGTAGAGTGTTATGCCATCTGTTACATCCACAGCTCTACTATTGGTGATCTGCTGTATCTCAGTTTTTATTGTATATTTTTTTTTGTGTGTGTGTGTGTGTGTTTGAATCCCACACCTTTGAACATTTATTATTATTCAGGGCTTTGTTTGTTCAGTCTTTGTTATATCAAGGAATTCAAGGGCTGAGAATTAATACTCATGTAAGTCTATGTAAGTGTATTTCAATGGACTGATCATCTGTGATGATATCTCTTCTGTTGTCATTTTTTTTCTTTCTGTGAAATTGTCAATTCCCCAAAGACCTGGGTCACACAGTATCATTGTGCTAGTGCCGGTTAATATAGGGATGCAGTTTCTTTTTCTTCATTTTTTTCTTTTATAATATCAACTATACAGTTCATGAGTATCTTTATTTTATAGGTATTGCACGCGATAAATAAATTCCAAAGTATATTCCCATTGATTTGCAGAATGGATTGTTTGAGTAAAGGAATATTTACAGACACTTAAATGTTAAACTTGTATTCTGTTACTCTGTTAACCACTTTCTTAGTCAACAATTAATTTTATATATTATCCACTAACTTTTTTCTGAAATTAATCACGATTAATCGTCTAAAGCGTCTAAATAAATGCAATTCTTGTTTAAGGTGTGCCAAACCAATCTGTGATGCTTCTTGCAGACTTCTTGAAATTACAGTTCCCTAAGCTTGACTATATAGTTCCTATGACATTTAAAAATTTGCATTTGTATTTTTAACAGTTACTGTCAGACACAAAATTCGAACTAATAGCTGCTGGACAAACAGGATTTTGAACTTTATACCCCTGTCAAAGCTATAACTGCTCTCCATCTGATCACATTTTATCTTGTCATTCTGTACCATATTGGTTTGTTTGTTACAATAAGGTATTGCACTGCTTATATTAGAATGTATTTGCATATTACCATGCATCTTTGCAGCGGCGGTTCTAGCTTGTATGGCGCCCTGGGTGAGTACTCCTAGGGAGTCTAGGAGTACTCCCTTCTGCCACTCCTAAATGAAATTAATTTTTCATAAATTGTGCTATTTTATATAAATTTATATATTTAAATTATTACAAACAAATAAAAAAAAAAAAACATAAATCCCTCCAAAACTGCACATCTGTACAGTAAACTCATTAATAAAGTGAGTGATGTTACGTTTGTAAAACAAAAAAATGCATTGTTACAAAATCACTTTACTGTCTGGTCATGTCAAGTTAAGTCAAATCAAGTCACCTTTATTTATATAGTGCTTTTAACAATACAGATTGTGTCAAAGCAACTGTACAGCATTAATTAAGAAAATAGTGTGTCATTAATGCAAAATTACAATGGTAAACACTCAATTTTCAGTTAAAGGCAGTTCATCATTGAATTCAGTGATGTTATCATCCAGCTCAGTTCAGTTTAAATAGTATCTGTGCAATCAAGTCGATGATATCGCTGGAAATTAAGTGTCCCCAACTAAGCAAGCCAGAGACGACAGCGGGAAGGAACCAAAACGTTGACAGAATGGAGAAAATACCTTGGGAGAAACCAGGCTCAGACGAAACCAGCAGTTCAAATCCAGGTTGCAGCAAAGTCACATTGAGCAGAGGACTCAACTGGTTCCTGTGGTTTTGTCCCGGTGGCCGTCTAGGAGACAAGGTCTCCACTGGTCTCCGCTGACATTCATGGCTGTTGAGGTCATCTCTAGGTCCTGATCCACCATCTTGTTCTTATTTTTTAATAACAAAGATAAAATAACGTCAAAGATTTTTATCTTCGCCCACTTTGGCCTAAATATCCGCCATTCTTTATTTATTTATGTATTTTTTGTTAGCTTTGGCTTTGTTTTTATAATAGGGAAATTAGTTTAGCTGTACTGCTCAGACAACTTAGTAACAAAATAGTAAAATAGTAAAACCAACATGACAAAGAATCGTGATAAAACCGTGAATCGTGGTATTTCTAAAAAAAACATTTGTGATATGATATTTTTTCCATATCGCCCACCCCTAGTACATCGGGTGTTATGGGAAGTGTTCCCGGTTCCGGTTGTCCTAATTAATGCAGCCTAACAATCCTTTAACGGATTTGAATATTAGAAATGTGTTCGTGTATTATGTGTAAGCCACCTGGTTTACACATAATACAAAGAGATGGGTCTTTAATCTAGATTTAAACTGACAAGAGTGCGTCTGCCTCCCAAACAATGTTAGGTAGATTATTCCAGAATTTGGGCGCTAAATAGGAAAAGGATCTGCCGCCCGCAGTTGATTTTGGTATTCTAGGTATTATCAAATAGTTTTGAGAACGCAGTGGACAGAGGACTATAATGCAATAAGAGCGCATTCAAATACTGAGATGCTAAACCATTCAGGGCTTTATAAGTAATAAGCAAGATTTTAAAATCTATACGATGTTTAATAGGTAGCCAGTGCAGTGTTGACAGAACCGGGCTAATATGGTCATACTTCCTGGTTCTAGTAAGAACTCTAGCTGCTGCATTTTTGACCAGCTGGAGTTTGTTTAAGCATGCAGAACAACCACCCAATAAAGCATTACAATAATCTAACCTTGAGGTCAT